GGTTTAGATGGGAATTCATGCAAATGAGGGGTCAGAAATGGTATAGTGACCCGGTCCACGTCCTCCAAGCTCACGACCTTGGAGCCCCGTGGAGCTGGACTGAGGAGGAGGCTGCACAGCGGGAGAGCAGCTGGTCCAGACCAGCCTTGCAGCCCCCCTGAGCTGGCAGCCAGATGGCCCTGCAAGGCCTCCAGGGATGGCCCCGAGCTGCGGGCCCTGGCTGAGGTCTCTGGGTCGGGCAGTGACAGGTATAGGTAGGAAGCACTGAAAATAGCGTTCCCAGAGCACATTGCAACTCACTGGGTAAGAGGGACGACACCTCTGGTTTTTCAATACCAATTACATGGAACTTTTCTGTAATGGGTACAACGAAGAAGTTTCTAAAAACACACACAAAGCACATTAGGCCAACTATTTAGTAAGCCCGGATGGACTTATTGCCAGAAACAAAAAGTAGCTTTCAAAAGAAATTTAAGTTATATGAGAAATTCCTTAGTCATGGTGTTGTCTAAATCATATTTTAGCTGCACAGCGTTACCCCACACAGCGTTACCCCACACAGGCAGAACTTGAAGGGTTACTGACATGTAAATGCTGGTATTTGATTTCCTGTGTGTGTTGCCCTGGCATTAAGGGCATTTTACCCTTGCAGTTTTACTAAAACACTGAAAAATATTCCAAGCTTCATATTAACCCTACCTGTCAACGTAACGATTTCATGAACATTATTATATTGTCGAATTCCTACTGACAACATTATAACTGTATGGGAGCTTAACTTTATAAGGAAATGTATTTTGACACTGGTATCTTATTAAAGTATTCTGATCCTACCACTGCTGGTGGCTCTTATTTCCTGTGGATTTATCATGGGTTATGCCAATGTAAAGTGAAATATTTATTAAGTAGTTTATAGAAATTGAACATTAGCACAGACCTTTATGAGACTACTGAAGTGAGCTGATAAGACTGGTGAAGGAAAGACTGTTGTTAAATACTCGGCAGTTAGTCAACTGATAAGTCTGAAAATTCATATTGTATCTTCCTTATTTCTGCAAGTATTTTTCTATCTGCCTCAGAGCCATTTTTTGTATCCTATGGGGAACCAAAGGAAAGAAGTCACGGTCCCTGCTTTCAGAAAATTACATGAAGTCATCTGAGAGCCACGCTGCTCTGTATATTCACATACCGCACTTTGGGATGGAGGTCCCGAAGGGAAAGGGGCAGCCTGGGCATTAGTACTTCAATTTGGAGGTGGCTGGGCTTGAGTAGGGTCTTCCCAGGTAGACTGTGGTTGGGAAGAGCAGAGATCCCCTCAGCCAGAGACAGAGCACAGTGAAAGCCCAGAACTGGACATGAGCATGATGTGTTCCCCAATTCAGATTTCACTTTTCCAAATCATGCCTTGCTTGTGAGCAGGCCGTTAGTCTTCATGGAGCGATGGGGGCAAGGGGAGAGACTGTGCAGCAGCCTGCACTCTCACTGTCCATCCTAGAACCAGCCACTCCAACAGCATGTACTTTGCCTACGCATTTGGTCCACATAGTGTAGTCTCATATGTTAGCTTGTTAGCTCACTGGATCCTAGGTCTAAGCAATGCCATGAGCGCCCATTCTACAGCTGAAACTGAGGAACTTGTTAGATGACTTAGCAAATCACAGCTTGTTGATGGGAGAAAAAAACTTAAACCCCCTCCTGGCCAGTGCATCTCTCCTCTCACACCTCAGACTGATGGCTGGGAGGCTGGTTTTATGACAGGACCCTGTTCTCATTTCTAAACAGAAAACTCATGTCTTTATTACTTTAGCCTTTAGACCTCCTTCTGGTTCTTTTGCTTACTCTTCTCTTCCAAAACTTGGGGCCTGGACCTTCAGATTGGAGTTTCTAGGCTCTGCCAGGTTCCTACCCGCCTTTGCCTGCCAGCTGGGACTTCCTGAAAACACCTGTTCTTTTCTGAAGGTTTTCTGTGAATGACACATCTCAGCCCATCCTTCAGGAGCAGAGTTGCCTCTGAGCACTGGCAAATTCAGGATTCAGGCCTGGAAAGGTGCTATCCCAGCCCCCTAACACCTGCAGGGTCCCATGGGGTCCACAGTGCTGTCCTTGGGCCATGATTGTACCCTCCTGCCCCTGGGGGTGCTGGGCAGCTCAAAGCTCCTCTTGCTTCCAAGTCCAGCAAGCAAGCCAGAGAGGAGCACAACGAAGCCATTGTTCCTGATGGGTCAGAGGAGCTCAGCCTCCAACCACAAGACACAAGACCCACACAAGCCATCACTGCTTCACGTTTTGCCTCAAGCAGTCCAGTGAAGACTGACTTAAATGTTCCTGATTTTATATTTTCCAAAACGTAGGTGACTCAGGAGTAGGTACATGCCTGTGTGGCCAGATGTGCAAAGACCAAGGCAGGGGCCTGCACAGAATTAGCAATCGTTCAGCCACTGGGGGTCCTATTGACGCTAGATATGTTCCCCTCCAGGCAAGCAAACCCTGATGGGCTGCGACAGCATCTCAGCACTTGTCTTGGTTGGCAGGCTTATGGATGAGAAATCTCTCTGGGAGAGGGACTCTGACCCAAGGCTGGAACATCAGAAGGCCCTACCTGGGAAAGAAGGGCCAACCCTGCCCCTTCTGATCATGCAGGGCAAAACTGATCCCACTCTGCAGCATGGGCATGGATGCCCATTTTCAGCTGGGGATGGAGAGTGAATGAACTGTGTTTTTTCTGGAGATCAAGGAAATGCAGATTCATTTCTTTTACAATATGCAAGATTCAACCACTTAACATCCTTCCCCTCCTAGATCCCGCACAAAAGACTCTCTGCTGTTTTGTGAAAAAGAACTTTTACCAGGAGGCCTGTAGAAGAACGGTCAGGTTAACCTGGCTCTTCCTTCCCCGAGGCAGTGGCCCAGGGTAGACAGCACAGGATGTGTTATCTCAGATGCACTCGGGATACTGAGAGGAGCTGAGAAACAATGTCACCCAACCCCATCACTTCTTTTTTTCAACCTCCTCATTTTAGAGATGAGGAAACTGAGGCCCAGGGAAACAAAGCAACTTGCCTGCAGTCACACAGGGAGTTAGTGGCAGGACGGGGACTAGAGCCCCGGCCAGCATCATGGGAATTGGGGCTGAACTCACGTAAGTGAAAGGGCAGTGTTCTCTGCCCCAGAGGTCACTGCTCACTGTCTCAGCCAGCACTGGGCCTCCCACATGGCCCTTCCCACTTCTTCCTTCCAGTCTCCTGCTCCTCACTTCCCTCCAGCACTCTCAGTTCTTCCAAAAATGATCCTGTCACCCCCGTTTCTTCCAAACATTCCTTTGAGCTCAGTGACCCCTGTGGGAACTGCTCGGCCTCTCTGTGGCCTCCATGAAGTCTAAATTAATTCTTTCACTACTGGACTGAACTTTCCTTGGCCCCCCAAGACCCAGGAGAAAAGGATTTTGAAGTACTTCCCCAGGCCCACCTAATATACACAGTGTTTAAAAATGATACTTATTCAGCACTCATGATCCTTCTTTCTAGAAGCTTCCCAGTTAGTAGGTAAAACCAAACAAAGCCTGCCTGGATGACTGAGACCCTGTCTGAGATGGTGTGTGATGATGGAGGCCCATGGCCCAGTTTTCCCAGCCAGTCCCAGCGTTAGATCACGTGCTTCCGCATCCTTGTGGGTGCAGCTGTACTTGGGCCAAGGGCGCCGTCGTGGGTTCAGAAAGCATGATAACTATTGATGCAAATGAACCCTTGGTTGTTTTAGGGTAGACTCCAGCACCTGCAAGTGTCCAGAGGAGGCCAGCAGAGATCGGCCTGGGTCTTAAGAGTGGAGCAACTCCCACCAGAGCTGGGATGGAAGAGGATTAGACAGGCAGGGGGAAAAGAGGTCATTCCAGGAGAAGTGGACCAGGGAGACAAAGGCCTGAGGCCAGAATGAGCAGGACATGCAAGAGGCCCTGGGGAGCAGGTAGGACGGGGGCTGGGAAAGGAGGGGGTGCCCGGGCAGCCTGGCAACTCACAACACAGGCCTAGAGTCAGACAGACCTAGGTTCAAATCCCAGCCCTGCTGCTTCCTGCTGTGTAACCTCAAGGAAGTCCCTTAAACATCTGATAGCCTAAGTCTGCTGTTTCGTAGAATGGTGGTGACAGCAGTCCCTACCTCATAAGGTTTAAAGCTGGAGATACAAATTTGGGAATGTGCAGTAGGTTAATTGTACTGAACTCCATGAGATGGGATGAAATATGCCTATGAGATAAGAGTGCAGTCAAAGAAGAACAGAGGTCCGGAGACAGAACGTAGGCCACTGGTAGAAGCCAGATGGAGCGGGAGCAGCCAAGGAGCAGGAAGAAATCCAGGGGTATAGTATCCCAAAAGCCAAGTGACAAGGGTGCTGTGGGAAGGAGGGCATAGTGAACTGGGTTACACACACACTAGACTGAAAGGTAAGGGAAGGGGAAAAAATGGACTCAGATTTGCCAACATGGAGCTCACCACCAACCTTAATAAGAGCAGTTTTGGTGGGAAGCTAAGGACAGCAGATTGGAGTGGACTGAGGAATGAGCTGGCTGGAGTGGGGAGATAGAGACCGTAGCAATATACAACTCCTTTGGGAAGGTTCCCTGTGCAGGAAAGCAGGGAAATGGAGTGAAGCAAGAAGATGACATGGGTCAGGGGAGTGTGTGTGAGTGTCTGTGAGTGTGTGTGGTTTCATATTTAATCAACTTTTATCTTAGAATAGTTTTAGGTTTACAGAAAGCCTGTGAGACTATTATAAGAGTTCCCTGCACTCAGTGTCCTCTGTTATTTTATTTTATTTTAATTTTAGAATAGAGACAAGGTTTCCCTATGTTGCCCAGGCTGGTCTCGAACTCCTGGGCTCAAGTGATCCTCCTGCCTTGGCCTCCCCAAGTGGTAGGAATATAGGCGTGAGCCACCGTGCCTGGCCTTCTCTATTGTTAACATTACTATGGCGCATATGTCACAATTAATGAACCAGTATTGGTACCTTATGATCTAAAGCCCGTACTTTATTCCAGTTTTTAGTTTTACTTAATATCTTTCTTTTTCTTTTCTAGGGTCCTATTCAGAATACCACATTACATTTACTTGTCATGTCTCCTTAGGCTTCTCTTAGGTTTTCCCTGCTTTTGATGGCCTTGACAATTTTGAGGAGTGCTAGTTAAGTATCTTGTAGAACATCCTTCCATTTGGATTTGTCTGGTGTTTTTCTGGTTGGACAGAGGTTGTGGGTTTTGGAAAGGAAGACCACAGAGGTACAGTGCCATTATCATCTCCTCACATCACAGCAAGGGTACGTTCCGCCATCACGACTCGTCGCGTTGATCACCTGGCTGAGGTGTTTGTCAGGTTTCTCCACTGTAAAGTTACTGGTTTTAGGAGGCCAGGAGGGACATTATTTTTGAAGATGCGCTACATTAGGAAATGTATATATGGTGATGGCAGAAAGAGAAGTTGATGAAGACAGGAGAGGGGATAATTGCAGAAGGAAAATGGAAAAGGTAGGATGGGCACAGATGGAATCCACTGCACCATCGAGGGGCTGGCTTCAGACAGAAGCATGGACAGCTCATCGTTTTAAAAGGGGGAAGGCAGAGAAGGGAGTAAAGCCTTAGTCCGTCAGGTGGAATTGATGGTGGGAGGATAATGAGCAATCTCTAGTCTGATCGCTAGTTCCTCAGTGATATATGAGGCTGTCAGAGGTTTGAAGAGATACAAGTATGAAATAGTCCCTAGAAAGTCAGACCGATCGATGATCAGTATCAGAAGCTCAGGTGAGATTTACGGTCATGAAGTCGCCTGCGGCACAGCTGCGTTTTCTTCTAGCCACACTGTTCTACTCTAATGGAGGCTGAATGGGTGGGTAGTTGAGTTCACCAGGTTGTGGTTCAGCCAGGAGGGTATGTTGAAGGGAGTGAGGAAAGTTTCCAGTAGAATGACTATTATGATGGATCACTAAGTTGTGTGAGAAGGAACGAAAATAATGAATAGGTTCATGATCAATGAAAAAAATGGCAGGCTCGGTGAATTGGAGGTCTTAGTGAGGTCACAGTGGTCAATGTGATATGTTAGAGAAAGGAACCATGTGGATGGGGCACAGTTGTCAGAGGAGAGGAAACTTACAATTGAGATCTCACATACATAGGACCCAGCAATGACCACTTCTAGGTATTTTAAAGAAGTCAAGATTTTAAGTCCACACAACATCTGCACACAAATGTTCCTCCTCACCAAGAACTGAAAACACCCAAATGTCCTGCAGCAGCGGTAGATTTTTTTTAAAAAACTGTAATGTATCTACACAATGGACTACTACTCAGCAATAAAAGTTAACACGCTTGATTCTAACAACAGCGTGGATGAATCTCAAAGGTATTACTCTGTTGAACAAAAGAGGCCAGTACCAAAAGGGCACATTCTACATAATTCCACATATATGGCATCCTAGAAAAGGCAAAAATGCAGGAACAGAGAACAGCTCATTGCTTGCCAGAAGGCAGGGGTGAGGAGAGATGAGGGCGTTCTCTGGAGTACTGGAACTGTTGCATGTACTGTCTGTGGTGGTGGCTATGAGAACCCATGCACGTCTAAAAAACCAAAGCCCTGTACATCAGAAAAAGAATTTTACATACGTAAACTTAAAACATTTTTTAAATAAAAGCAAATGTTGAGATCTCAGAGGTGGCTGAAATCAAATGAGGGCAAGAGTCTGAGGAAGTTGGGGAGCCAGGATGTCGTCAGAGTGCTCCAGGTGGGTGTCAGCGCCAGTGAGAGTAAAAGTGGACGGAGAAAGCAGCTGGGGACTGAAGTCACTGGGGGAAGAAACCAGAGTCTGAGGACTGAGGGGGAGGAATGAGTAACTCCTCCACATCTGGCCCTGCCTGACACCTGCCTGTAGGCAACAGAAACCAGCCTCAACCTGAGTGGTTGCAGGGAGCAGGGACCTTGAGGACAGGCAGGCTTCAGTGAAAGACGGTGAAGGCCCCTTCAGAGGAGGGGAGGCTCTAGGAGACAAGAGTTCCGGAGAGTGCAGTGGAAGGGTCTGGAGGCTGAGGAGGGGTAAAGGAGGAGCTGATGTGCAGAGCTGCCCAGAACAAGGGCCACGTGGTGACTGATGATCTGGAAGGCTTGGTCTGCCGAGGCAGACAATTAGGAGGGATAGCATGTTGCCCAGCGTCTCTCAGAGGTTCGAGCAAGCAGGCCAGCGGGGGCAGGGGGCTGACCTCTTCTGTAGCTGGAAGGAAGATCCAGCATGCTCCCCACGCACGGGCAGAGCCTTCGAAATGGCCCTCCTCTTGTCCTGCAGCGCCTAGGGACCAACATCCATGCACACTCACGGAACGCAAAGTGGGTTTGTGTTTGTTCGTTGATTTCCGACAACAGGTATCAGGGTGGCCAGGGGACAGCTCCCTCCCTCTCTGTCCTGATCTTGGCTTTAGAGTATGTGGGTGGGCCCAGCACTTGTAGGAACAAAAAAAGAAAACAGCTGCAGTTAGAGAAGACCCATTTGGCTTAAAACAAGGAACGTTTTCCCCATCCTCATTAGCCTGGTTGAGGCGAGGGCAGCTGAGCATGAACACTGACATCATTTTGGGGGCCTCACTAAAGGCCAGGGCAGTGCTCTAAGACTCAAGTCTGGATGGGAAAGATGACTCAGACCGGGGTGGGTTGGCCTGCATGGGTTTGGGAGATCCTGGGTATGTGTGACCCGGTCTCTGCTCAAGGTTCCAGGAGCCAGCTGTGGGTGGCATCTGCAGCTCTGCAGGGGTGCGGATGGGGAGGATACGACTGATAGATCTTTAACTTCCTGGGTCCAATAATGACTCACATGGGTGAAGGATGAAATTCCAGGCATCAAAGCAGGATAGCAAAAGGCATCTTCTAAACAGGAGGAGGTGGACGGGCTCTTCTCAAGTCACTCCAGGTGGACCCATCCCCTCGCATAAATCTGCTCCTTTTATTTCTACAAGCAGAGGTGGGGGTGGACTGGTGGCAGTACTCACAGTCAGAAAGTAGAGACGGTCACAGTGACTTTATTATTTATTAGGCTGAGCTTGACCAGAGTATCTCATTCATTCATCACAACAGTCCTGTGAGCTCATAGTATAATTATTGCCATTTGGAGATGACGAAACCAAGACAGAGAGAAATACTTTGCCAAGGAAGTGCCTTTGGTATGGAGTATGGGAATTTCTGAAAAATATCTTATTAATAAGTGAGTAGTAGCCTATAAAGTAATCATAGTAATAATGTGACCCTAAAATGCATTAATAGAAGAACAATTCTGAGCAAAAAAGGAACGGGTAATCCCGCAATACTGTGGGCTAGGAAGCCACCCTGATATATGATATCCCTCTCTGGGCACCAGGTTTTAATAAACAGGAATGTATTCAAAGAAGGATGACTAAAATGGTGAGGAGACTCTCAACTATGTTACAAACACTCACTAGAAAAGCTGAGGAAGTTTGTACTGGAGAAAGTAAGGTTTGGGGGAGCTCACAAGCCCACCTGCAAGTATCTGGAGAAGCAGAAGGTGTAGAACTTTTCTGGGTGGCTCCACAGGATAGGATCAGGCCTATGGGTGCAGGAAAACAGAGTCCAGCTGAATGCAAATACACTCGGAAACAAACCTCACCCTTTCCCTAATGTTTCAGTGTTTACGTGCTCGGAATGACAGAGGAATCTCTTTACTCTGATCACCAGAGAAAGCTATTTAGAACACGACGGGCTAAGAATAACAGGAAAAGGTAATGAAAAACTAGGATTACAAAACTTCCCTCACGTCTCTGTGTAGATGAAGCCTGGTCGTGAAAGACAGATGGCCCGTACGCAACCCAGGATGACCAGAGGGGAACCGGCACTGCCCCTTAACGGTGAGCCGAAAAAATGGTGCAAATTATGGTGAATTTAGATTTTAAAATGTGTTTCTTCCTTGATAGAGATTTAGACTGCATGGCCTTCATGGACTACTGTTTCTCTTTGGGAGGTACTGTGGCACTGCGTCTGAAGTTAGGAAGAAAGCAAAAAAAAAAAAAAAAAACCCCACCAAGTCAGAATTCCCCTCGAAAACCCCTAAGGAAGGTGTGACCACGCTGAAAACCAACACCCCACTTCTCCAGCACAGTCAGCTTTTCCTCCGGTATCAGAACAACTGTGGTTTCTTTGGATGAGCACCAGATGAAACAGTTGGCTCATATCTAGAGATCACCTTGTAAAGAAAACACATCTTTAAACACAGCTATACTCAGCACAGCAAGATGCTCACATCTCCAGAGGGATGTGGTGACTGAGATTCCCTAAAGAAACATAGGATCCACAACTCCTTTCTCAGGGGCATATGGTCATTTCCTGGAATGATCTGTTAGCATACTTACCTGTATTCAGAGGGAGATCTAGATTTTGAAGGGCTTGTTAATGGTATGTGCCTTTGCTGGGCATGGTGGCACACACCTGTAGTCCCAGCTACTTGGCAGGCTGGGGCAGGAGGATCACTTGAGCCCAGGAGTTCAAATCCAGCCTGGGAAACATAGCAAGACCCCATCTCAATTTTTAAAAAATGGTATGTACCCTTGACATGATATAATAAAAACCATATTTTACCTCTACGATTCTTCCCCCTAAAAACTTTTAGGGAATCTCAGTCTAATAACGAGAAAGAGAATCAGACAAGTCCCAGCTGAGGAACATTCTACCAAAAAAACCTCACCAGAATTCCTCGAAACTGTCAAGGTCATCAAAAACAAGGGCTGGCCATGTGGCTCACGCCTGTAATCCCAGCGCTTTGTGGGGCCAAGGTGGGAGGATCACTTGAGCCCAGGAGTTCAAGACTAGCCTGGGCAACATGGCAAGACCCTATCTCTACAAAAGAAATTTAAAAATTAGCCAGGCATGATGGCACATGAATAGTTCTACATTTACTTTGAAAAGTGAGTCTTTAAATAAAACCTTCTCACTAAGAAAACTTCAGTACCCAGATGGCTTCACCACTAAATTCTCCCAAACGTGTGAGGAATATCATTCTGTCTCCAATACATTTAGAGAATAGAAAAAGAGGGAACACTTGGAACTCATTAGTGAGGCCAATATATCCGTGACATCAAAGCTTGGCAGACATACAATAAGAAAAAACATTGCAGGCCAATCTCTCTCACAAGCCTCAATTCAAATATCTTCAAGAAACTATTATCAAATCAAATCCAGCGGTACATGAAAAGGACGATGCATTCCAAGTAATCTGGGTTTATTACAGATACATGGTTAGTTTAATAATGAACAATTGGATCAATGTAATTTACCATATTAACAGAATAAAGAAAAAACCTATCTCAAGAGATGTAGAAAATACATTTGATAAAATTTGAAATGCATTATTTTGTTAAAAAAATTCTTAGCACACTAAGCACAGAGAATAACTTCCTGAATCTTATAAAGAATATTTATTTTAAAACTTATATCAAACATCATACTTAATGGTGAAATCTAAAAGCTTTCCCCTGAAAGAAACAAGACAAGGATGTCAACTATTGTCACTTCTATTCAACATTAAATGAGATAGAAAAACACAAAGTCAGTTTCTCCTATTCTTTACTTTCACAGTTACTCAACACAAAACTTTTGACACACCAACCAACCAATTTTCCAGCAGACGCCAACTGGATGTCCTATAATTCAACACAATTCTGACACTACCTATCTGGAGATAGTATCAGATCCCACAGGTTGAGGGCTCAGTCCCACAGTATTGCCTCCGACTTCAGATGCTAGTCACAAGTAATAAACTCTACCTATACTTCTGATGGACTGGCAATACATTGGGGCTTCTTGTAAACCCCTTGTTGGGCTCTATTAATTTTCTAGAGCATCTCGCAGAACTCAGGGAAACACTTTACTTATGTTTACCCATTTACAATAAAGGATACTACAAAGGATATGAATGAACAACCAAATGAAGGAGATGCATAGGGCAAGGTATGAGAGAAGGAACACAGAGCTTCCATGCCCTCTTCAGCAGTGCCACCCTCCAGGAACCTCCGTGTGTTCAGCTATTCAGAAGCTCCTTGAACCCAGTCCTTTTGAGTTTTTATGCAGTATTCATTCCTTAGGCATGATTAAATCATTGGCCACTGGTGGTCAACTTAACCTTCAGCCCCAGAGGTTGGGGGGATAGGGCTGAAAGTCCTAACCCTCTAATCATGTCTTGGTCTTTCTGGTGACCAGTCCCTACCCTGAAGCTATCTAAGGGCCCTCTGCCACCAGTCATCTTCTGAGCATACAGAAGACACTCATCATCACTCTGGAGATGTCAAAGGTTTAGGACCTGTCAGGAAAAGGGGATGAAGACTAAATATATAGTTCACAATATTACAAATATTATATTAAAAAACCTAACGCGTGTAATAAGACAAAAAAAAAAGGTATGAAGATTAGAAAGGGAAAAAAAACCTATTATTATTTACAGTCTACATGACTGTATATACAGAAAATGCAATAGGATCTTCAAAGAAATTATTATGGTTCATTAGTGAATTTAACAAGATTGCTGAATTCAAAGATAATATACAAAAATCAACTATCTCCAGCAACAAATAACTGAAAAGGTACATTTTTAAATGGCTGTACATAAAAATGTACATTTTTATTGTACTAATTACAAATAAGAAAAAAATCTAAAAGATATACAAGAATGCTAAATACAGAACTTTAGAAAATATGGAGAAAAATAAAACACCAAAATAAATCCCATGTTCACAGATGTCATCATCCCATGTCTAAGATGTCAGTTCTCCTCATATTTGGTTATATTATTAAGAACATTCCCAATCAGAATTCTAGTAGTTTATATGTATATGTATGTTCATAGTCAAAAATTTATTCTAAAATTTATGTGGGAATGCTAACAGCCAAAAGTATCCAAAACAATATTGAAAAGGAACAAGCTGGAGAATTATGCTACTGGATATCAAAACTTATTTTATTAGCTGGGCCTGGTGGTGTGACCCTGTTGTCCCAGCTACCCTGTAGGTTGAAGTGAGAGAATTGCTTCAGTCCAGGAGTTCAAGACTGTAGTGCACTATGGTACCTGTGAACAGCCCACTGCACTCTGGCCTGGGCAACATAGTGAGATCCAGTCTCTTCATTAATAACAATAAAATTCAAAACCTTATTTTAAAATGACAATAATTTTGACAGTGTGGTATTGTGTATGGATAGGTGAATACACCAAACAGAAAAGAAAAAAACTATCACTGTTATCATTATTAAAAAATTATCACTAGCCCAGAAATTAACCTACTCATATATGGACACTCTGTATGATAAAGGTAACACCACAAAGCAAAGAGGAAAGGTCAGTCTTTTCAATAAATGCACTAAGTCAATAGGACATTCATATGGGAAAAAAATTATTCTTGACTCCTACCTCACACTAAATATAAAATGTCCAGGTCAAATAGAGATCAAAATGAGAAAAATAAATTAGACTTCTAGAAGATAACATAAGAGAATGCCTTCATGACCTCAGTAGGCAAGACTTTTTGAATATGAAAAGATGATCCACAGAATGGGAGATGATATTTGAAATATTTACATCTAACAAAGGATTCATATATCCAGGATATATAAAGAACTTCTCAAATTAGTCCCAACAAAAGAAAAAAAAAGACAAATGACCCAACAGAAAAATGAACACAAGACTTAAACAGTTACTTCACAAAGTTTTTATGGCCAATAAAAGTAGTGCTTAAACTCAGTAGTCATTAGGAGAATGAAAATTAAAACCACAATCAGAAACCGCTTACATACCCACTAGAATGGCTACAGTTGAAAAAACACTGTCATAAGTACCAAGTCCCAGAGAGGCCATGAAGCAACTGGAGCTCTCAGATATTACTGGTGGAGGTGAAAATTGGCACAACCACTTAGGGACGCTGAATGTATGCATACTCTCTTAGGCGGTTATTCTACTCCTGTGTATACCCAAGAGAAACGAGTGCATTTGACCTGCAAAAGACAGGTTTAAGAACACATCTAGCAGCATTATTTCCAATGACCCCAGACTAAAAACAGCCCAATTGTCCATCACTAGTAAAGTGGACAAAAAAGTCATGACCTATTCGTAAAATGGAATATGCTATAGCAATGAACATAAACGAACTACTGCCACTTGCAACAACATGAATGAATTTCATATATGCTGTGTCAGAAACCGGAAACGACAGATTACAAATTGTGTAAATTTCATGTAACAGAACAGGCAAAACTAACCTAGACCATTAAAAGTCAAATATTAGTCATCTTTGGGCAAAAGGGTGGGTTGTGACAAAGAGGGACAGGAGGAGGGCTTCTAGGATGCTGTAAATAGTCTAGTTCTGACCTAGAAGGTTATACAGATATGTTTCACTTTGGGAAAATTCATCTAGTCAAATACTTACAATTTCTGTGCTTTTCTGCGTGAATTTTATACCTCAATAAAATTTTATCAATAGAAAAAAAGTTGATAAAATATTATTGATGAGTATGTAGTGAGACAGGCACCGTATATGTGGTAGAAGTATAAACTAAATATCTCTGAAAGGCAAATTGGTCATATCTACACAAACTGAAACGCTATAGATATCCTTTGAACCAACAATTCTACCTTGGATATTTACAGTTATACTTCCACATACGCAGAAAGATACACATAAAAGGATTTCCATCCTTTCATGGCCACATCATTTTTAAGTCTAAACATCTAAAGGCTTGTCTGAAAAAAATCACAGTGCATTTAAAGAAGAAAATACCAGTGTTTAAAACAAACAAATGAATGTCAACCAAATCTGGCCCAAATCCATGAAGTCACATTCTAGGTTTACATATGTTAGGACATCTCTGAAAGGGCACACAAGGAGCTAGCAGGCGTGGTGGCCTCTCTGGCAT